ATATGCTTGTTAGAGAGGCAGTAGGCCTATTCTCCCCCCCCCCCCCCCGCAAAAAAAACATGGTGATTAGTCGCCTGTCAGCGGCTTTCCTGTATAAGGCCTTGAACAGCTGCAATCGTCGACACTGGGGTAACTACTCAATGTTCCAGACAAGGTTGTAAACAGTCTGTCAGAGAAGTCACCCAGTTTGGAAACTTCCTACTCCACTCAGTCTTGTTGAACTGACAGGCATACATTACCAGACTGGACCTTTATGGGTCGATGAATTTCTACAGGTTAAACTCTTCGTCAGTTTTATTTGTAAAAATGGATAACAGAACGCTGCCCCTCTTGGTGCATTTTAGAAGTGGGGTGGCCATCTTTAAACTATTATTATGATGCCATCATGTTAATCTGCACCGTGATGATACTCTTGACATTCTTAACAACAACACTGACAGTTTACAAGAAAATGGCAGGATTATTGTAATTTCTATCACACTTTTAAGGTTTTCATTTGACTCGCCTGTAATATACCACTATAGCACTGCTTATTAAATAGATACAATAAGTAAACGCACAGAGAACAAGTAGAAACAAGTCACTGTTGATTCAGACAGTACTTTCTTTCAGCACAAAATCTGGATCATCGCTGCCATCACAACTACACATGAGCGAGCTGGTCGCACAGGAAGGCTCATAAATCACCACCACATCAGGAATTTCCTCCACCTTCCGTCTTTCTACAAACTCCTTCTCTGCACTCATTCTGCCTTCTTTCCGATATCTGGAAGCAGCAGCTTCTCTGGCACTTTCGTTGAATGTTTTCCCAAGCAGTGAGGATTTTGTTGAGGCGGAGCTGTTTTTGGAACTGACGAACCTCTCCATGCTGCTGGTGCTTCTCAGTTTACCATCTTTATTACTTGTTTCTAAGGAGCTAATTACATCTCCTTCAGTGCTGGCACAGGAAGAGATTCTGCTGATGACTCTTGCCTGCTTGTTCAAATCAACCTCCACAACTTCTTCATACAGCTCCCAACTCTCCGGGAAGCGCTGGTGGGGATTTGACACATCAGTCTTGTAAAGTCTTTCTCCTGTTGTTTTTGTCGCTCTTTTGCTGCCAGCTGCCTTATTGAAATCTTTCTTACCTAAATTCTGAGCTGGTGAAGCATTTCGTACTGCACTGGAATTCAAAAACTGCACAGATGGATACCCCTTACCTTTCATATCAGTATTATCACCGCTGCTGCAGCTTTGAGCCGAATCACAATCGTCGATCACAGTGCTCTCCCCTGAATATCGAGGCAAGCTTATAAAGTCTCTATCATCAGCAGACAGCCTACTAGGCATGGTTTTAGTCACACTTGTTAAAGCTGTCCTGGCATCATCACCTGAAAGACTGTCGGAGGCTCCTGCTGACTGACTAGACAGTTTATTCCCAGCATTTACATTATGTATTAAACTATCTGGCTTCATCATACAGTCTGATTCCTGATAGACAGACCTTGAAGAATCTGCAGAGCTACCAGGAAACGGTAAGAAAGATGCCAACGGTGAGAAAGAAATGTCTTCTTCGCTGTCCCGAACGGGGCTTCTCGACAAGGAGTGGCTCTTCCCCTCTATAATATCTGTCAGAGTACGATCCAGGTTTTCGGAGTCTTTGATCTCTGCGTCAAGTTCTTCGTCTGAGTTGTTGCCCAGGTAGCTGTCGGTCATCACACAGCGACCCGTCTGCCTGGGCTGGTTTGACAGGGACAACTGCAGCTGAAGCACCTGGGGGAGCACGTAAGAGGGATGGTGTAAAAGCAAAAATATAATAAGACATAATAGGAATAGAATATAGTATAATGAAGTAAAGAGCCCTTTTCCACGCCTTCAGGTGTATTAGGCATATAGGGCTAGACCAATATTTTATAGACCAATTGTCACTCAGTGGGTTATGTGGTCAACATCACACCAGCCATCTTTATTTACCAGTAGTCACCTGGTACCCATTTAAGGCTGGGTCGACTCGGGAGCCAAGGTCATTCAACAAAAAATGTCCAGCTCTGTTCGGATTTGAACCCAAGACCTTCAGACCTGCAGGTGAATGTCTATACCACAGTAACTTCTGAATAGTTTATAGGCAAACATACACCAAAGAAGACATAGTGTGTATTTGCCTGACATGTTGGAAACTAGGTTATCCCCAGCCTCCCACTTCTCCCAACCCATAAAAGAATGAATAAGAGAAAATAACACAGGGCTCTGTTTCAACAACAGCAAAAACAAAAATAACAACAAACAGCAACAGCATCAGTGAAAACAACAGCAGCAGTAGTAGCAACAACAATAAAAACTCCAGTCAGTCAGTCAGTCAGTAGCATGACCTTTGCAAAACCTTTCTCCCATAACAACCTTCCGGGAAACTTCTCAATCACAAGCAAGATGACATGTGTCCAAAACACCCATATAAAAACTCCAACAACAATTAATACAATAACAGCAGTAACAACAACAGCAGTTACAGCAAGAATAATAGCTCAAACAATGACAAATACGGTAACAAAACAAAACAAAAAAACAAAAAAAAAAAAACAGAAGCAGCTACAACGACAAAAGCACTAAAACAAATTTAATAACAGCTGCAAAATTTTGAAGAAAAAAAAACAGCAGCAACAACAACAAAAGCACCAACAATGACAGATTCAATAACAGATGCAGCATCAACAAAACAGTAGCAGCAACAATAACAGCACCAACAACAAATACAATCACAGCAGCAGCAACAATAACAGCACAAACAATGACAGATTCAATAACAGCTGCAGCATCAACAAAACAGCAGCATCAACAACAACAAGGGTATCAAAAACAACAGCAACATTAGTAACAAAACAGAAATAACATCATTTGTCGCAAAAATGACAGCAACAACAGTAGTAATAAAAGAGAAACAACAGAACAATAGCAACAACAACAAAATCAGGGATAACATCAACAGCAGTAAAACCAAAACAGCAACAAACAACAACAACAAAACTAACAGGAACAACCACCAACCTCGTCCTGAAGATCATGCAGTTTGTTCTTGAGCTCCTGGTTCTCACCTTCATCTTGTAACTGGCCTGCAGCCAGCACTTCCTCTTTCTGATGCAAACCACACAGCAAAACAACGGGTCAATATCAAACAAAAGCTGGATGATTCATGAAAAATTGATGTGGAAGCAGCGAAAATGTGATTTTATACGAAAATAATAAGAATACTCATCACAGATTTTTTTAAATGCTAAATATAACACAACCAGCGAATTTTAAGCTCGGCTGTCTTGTCTGCTGTCTTCCAGTCACAGTTTGTGCTGTATTTAGTGCTCCGGTGATAAAGACTTTGGTCAAAACGTTCAGTTGTGTTTGTGTGCGTCTTTTCCATTCCCTCCACTGAGCTCTCTAGTCACATCTTCAATTCAACATTTCTTGCAAACAGCTCGACTGCAGTCACACCTTATTTACGTCATCATACTGGACCAATGAAGGTCCAGTCTGGTAATGTATGCCTGTCAGTCCAACAAGACTGAGTGGAGTAGGAAGTTTCCAAACTGGGTGACTTCTCTGACAGACTGTTTACAACCTTGTCGGGAACATTGAGTAGTGACCCCAGTGTCGATTGCAGCTGTTCAAGGCCTCATACAGATTAGAGTAATGATGGTGTACTGAAAAAAAAAAAACTGACCCACAAATGACCCATGAAGAGATTTGATTGCCCACAACAGAAGGAGACAATCTAAAGTCTTTGGCAATGTCATAAGAAGAAGAAAACATCCTGATGGTGGGAAAGTTGCAGGGTGAAAGAGGCAGAGGAAGATGCTGGACAGTCTGACATCATGACATGGAAGATCATCTGTGTCAGAACTGACTGAAAGTTCACAAGACAAGAAGGTTGTGGACAGGCAAGACTAACAACACCAAATGGCATGGACTATACGAGTAAATATTAGAATACATCTTTGACTGCCAACTCTTACGGTCTTGCATCTGACTCCTTGTAGAAGCAGAGTTTGAGGTTTGAACAACAGATCAACATCATGGTGCATGGGTAGTAACCCATAAGTGCTCCGTTCTTCTCCTAACTCAAGTCTGAGTCCGAAGAAGCTCAGCACAGTGCACAGGCTCTGTAGCACCGATGAGGATCCTGAAATACTTTGGGTAGATTTTTAACTCAAAATTTTGCCCGAGCAGCGCTGTTAGGCTACTCTTTTTGATTTCCAACTGCAAAGGATTTTTTACATGCGCAACAATGCACACGAGCATCCGATCTCTCTACCAAGAGAGCAGGGGGAATTACTAGAATTCCAAGTCCACATGAAAAAAATCCCAGCCCTTACTGGGGATTGAACCCGGAACCTCTAGCACTCGAGGCAGACACCAGACCCTTTTCAGGGGTTGCCAAAGACCATCGCAAAACAAATATTCATTGAAGTTATGAAAATAGTTGTATGGTTGGGGGTTGCAACAACATGAGGAACTATTTTAAAGGGTTGTAGATTTAAGAAGGTTGAGAACCATTGCCCTAGAGTACAGTATTACTTCACACAGGGAGATTGTTTACACAATCTGATATGGCAAATATGAGCAAACTAAAGCAAGACACAGCTCTTCATCCTCAATATCAATTTCTGTAGTCACCAAGACCTACCTTTACATCAGATTCTGCAATCACCAAGTTCCCCCACTTACATAAATATAAATCTCTGTAATCAGATATCAACAATGCAATCATTAAGTCCTACCTCTGCATATCATTCTCTGCAATCAATAAGTTTCAGCACCTACTCAATTATAAATCTACGCAATCATCAAGTCTTATCTTAATATAATTCTCCAATCAATTGTACAATCAATTCTAATTCTACAATCAAGCAAGCCCCTCCCCTTTCCTCCACCCAAATGACAATCTCTGCAATTATCAAATCCTACCCGGACATCTACCTCTGTAATCATCGACTTTTACCTGAATATCAATTTCTGCAATCGTTAACTTTTACCTGAATATCAATTTCTGCAATTTTGTGCCTCAACTCTGCCAACATCTGCACATTCTCAGCATCTTTGATCCGAGCCATCATGGCCTCCTCCTTCCTCTTGCTCTCTGTGTCGTCTAATTTTCTGGTTAAGTCCTTGATGTTTGTCCGCAGGTCCTTCTCTCGTTCCGCTGCTTCTTCTATCTGTTTCTTCAGCTCTTTATTTTCCTCTCCTGCCCGGCGGATCTGGTTGGTACATATGTGATTCTGAAACAATTTAAAAGACAACATTAGCTGCAATATTATTAAAAACAGCATACACAAAAGAGACAAATGGGAGCAGACCTAGAGGCAGACCAAGAAGACAATGGACAGAGATCTATCACTGAGGCTTACTGGGACATTTTAAGTGAACCTGGATTAAATTTTTTTTTTTTTAGATTTTCAAGAAACCTCTTTAAATGCTATATTTAGTTAATATATCAAAATCCGGGTCTCCTAAACACTACAAAGGTGCACACAGAACCAGTGATTTTTCATAACATTTTTTTAGAACAGGTCATAGCAGAAATGGCAATAAATCTACATTTAGAGGGTTGTGTCACAGCCAAAAGTGACTAGATTTAGCCTTTTTCAGGGTTATAGGCATTAAACCTTCTGAATAACAATTCAGTGGATTAATTTCAAGGTAGCTGAGCAAAGGCAGCATTTTACTAATTGAACAATGTTCTATGCAATCTTTCTTTGTTAACTGAGATGAGAAAGAGAATTCTTAAAAGTTAGATAAATCCTATCTTGGTATACAGAAATGAATCATGGACAGTTTGTAGACTGGTGAAAAATTATTTGTAAGCTGCCGTGATGTGGTTTTATAGATGAATAAGGAGAATAACCCAAATAGATAAAAGGAGGAATGAAGATTTCTTGAAAGAAACTAACTTATGAAAAGAAATGATTGCCCACATAAGAAAGAGACGATGCAAATTTGTGGGTGATATCATGAGAAGGAGAACATCGTGACAGTAGGAGGGGAAGAGAGGCAGAGGCAGACCGAGAGAGATGTTGGACAGTTTTATATTATGGCATGAAAGATTTTTTGCGTCAGAGCTGACTGACAGTACACGAGACAGAGGGCTGTGGATAGACATGACTACCAACACCACACTGCATGGACTATAAGAAGTGGGTTGTGACAAGACATGATTACCAACACCACACAGTATGGACTATAAGAAGTAGGTTGTGACAAGACCTGACTACCAACACCACACTGCATGGACTATAAGAAGAAGGTTGTTGGTTGTGACTAGACATGAGAACCAACATCACACAACATGAACTATAAGAAGAAGGTTGTTGGTTGTGACTAGACATGAGAACCAACATCACACTGCATGGACTATAAGAAGAAGGTTGTTGGTTGTGACTAGACATGAGAACCAACATCACACAACATGAACTATAAGAAGAAGGTTGTTGGTTGTGACTAGACATGAGAACCAACATCACACAACATGAACTATAAGAAGAAGGTTGTTGGTTGTGACTAGACATGAGAACCAACATCACACAACATGAACTATAAGAAGAAGGTTGTTGGTTGTGACTAGTCATGAGAACCAACATCACACAACATGAACTATAAGAAGAAGGTTGTTGGTTGTGACTAGTCATGAGAACCAACATCACACAACATGAACTATAAGAAGAAGGTTGTTGGTTGTGACTAGACATGAGAACCAACATCACACAACATGAACTATAAGAAGAAGGTTGTTGGTTGTGACTAGACATGAGAACCAACATCACACAACATGGACTATAAGAAGAAGGTTGTTGGTTGTGACTAGACATGAGAACCAACATCACACAACATGGACTATAAGAAGAAGGTTGTTGGTTGTGACTAGTCATGAGAACCAACATCACACAACATGAACTATAAGAAGAAGGTTGTTGGTTGTGACTAGACATGAAAACCAACATCACACAACATGAACTATAAGAAGAAGGTTGTTGGTTGTGACTAGTCATGAGAACCAACATCACACAACATGAACTATAAGAAGAAGGTTGTTGGTTGTGACTAGACATGAGAACCAACATCACACAACATGGACTATAAGAAGAAGGTTGTTGGTTGTGACTAGACATGAGAACCAACATCACACAACATGGACTATAAGAAGAAGGTTGTTGGTTGTGACTAGTCATGAGAACCAACATCACACAACATGGACTTTAAGAAGAAGGTTGTTGGTTGTGACTAGTCATGAGAACCAACATCACACAACATGAACTATAAGAAGAAGGTTGTTGGTTGTGACTAGTCATGAGAACCAACATCACACAACATGAACTATAAGAAGAAGGTTGTTGGTTGTGACTAGACATGAGAACCAACATCACACAACATGGACTATAAGAAGAAGGTTGTTGGTTGTGACTAGACATGAGAACCAACATCACACAACATGGACGAAGGTTGTGGGTTGTGACTAGACATGAGAACCAACATCACACAACATGGACTGTAAGAAGAAGGTTGTTGGTTGTGACTAGACATGAGAACCAACATCACACAACATGGACTATAAGAAGTAGGTTGTTGGTTGTGACTAGTCATGAGAACCAACATCACACAACATGGACTATAAGAAGTGGGTTGTGACAAGACATGAGAACCAACATCACACAACATGAACTGTAAGAAGTGGGTTGTGACTAGTCATGAGAACCAACATCACACAACATGGACTATAAGAAGAAGGTTGCTGGTTGTGACTAGTCATGAGAACCAACATCACACAACATGGACTATAAGAAGAAGGTTGTGACTAGTCATGAGAACCAACATCACACAACATGAACTATAAGAAGAAGGTTGTTGGTTGTGACTAGACATGAGAACCAACATCACACAACATGGACTATAAGAAGAAGGTTGTTTGTTGTGACTAGTCATGAGAACCAACATCACACAACATGAACTATAAGAAGAAGGTTGTTGGTTGTGACTAGTCATGAGAACCAACATCACACAACATGAACTATAAGAAGAAGGTTGTTGGTTGTGACTAGACATGAGAACCAACATCACACAACATGGAGTTTAAGAAGAAAATGAGGTGATGTTGACCCTATTTTCCACCAGGTTATAATTGGTTTATGCATGTATTGAGCAAGCATCATATGCCCAAGATGACTCAGCGTATGTAAGTGGGTCCAATACTGAGTTGATTCCAGAAAACAATCTGGTAAAAAAGGTTCCGGAACCTTGATGAGAGTTAAAATAATAGGCCCATTGCTCTCCTGATCAGCCTGGCAACTAATTAGGGGTGTTTGCTTTGAATTATGCACATAAATAAGCCAGATCCATAAAAGATATAAGCCAGATAAAAAAAAAACAGATATAAGCCAGATCCATAGAACAGACATAAGCCAGATCCATTAAAAAAAAAAACAGATATAAGCCAGATCCATAGAACAGACAAAAGCCAGATCCATAAAACAGATATAAGCCAGATATTTTGAACAGACATACGCCAGATCCATAAAACAGACATAGGCCAGATCCATAAAACAGACATAGGCCAGATCCATAAAAAAGAGACATAGGCCAGATCCATACAAAAGATGAGCACACAAAATCTCAAATGCTGGAACAAGACACAAGTCTTGAACTGGACGAAGAACCAGAACTGTAGGAGTTTACAGCCGGTGCAGGCTAAGAAGAACAGGAACTGAAACTGACATTACAGTATTCAGTGCATTTCATAAATGCTCCGTCCCCATCTTCAGCAGGCAGCAAAAATTCAAATGCTAATGGTTATAGCTGTATGATTAAATAGCCTATTTAGTTAATCCCACACAAATTAAAAACTTCATGCACGCTCATCAATGAATCAAACATATGGAGTCTAGATAAAATGAAACAAAAAGACATGTTAGGATCCTGTAATGAATAAAAATATGAAGCCCATGTATGTGTCAAATTAGAAGAAAATCTGAAATTCATTTTTTTTAAAACACAAAGATACCTGTGTCTCCAACTCCATCAGCTTCTGCTTGGCATCCTTCAAGTCTGCTACGGCACGGGCTTCCTTTAACTTGAGGGCCATCACTTCCTCCTGGAGGTGCTTCATCTCCTGCTTGCTGCCTTTTTCTTTCGGGGAGCTCTGACGAACTCTTTCCATGTGCGCCTGGAAGGGAAACATTATCTCTACAGTGAGAATGAACAAGAATATTTACAACTTCCACATTTGGCAACTGTGTTGTTTTCCTGGTAATTGACTTTAAGCTAAAATGAAAGCTGATGCTCTTAAAATGTTTTTGTTTCCAGCTAGCTGGTGATGCAATTCCTCTTTTCTGGATCATGAATCCAAAAGTTCCCTAGACCAGCTACTGAGCTGAGTGCTTGGAGAGACACTGTGAGCTATGAGTTTTTTAAGGAATTATTGTTTTCTCTAAGTCACATTCTTCTCTTTGCAGTAAAATGAAGTGACATGCAGAATGTCTCTAGCTAAGGACAGGAAGATGAAGGCCCTAACCAATTACCATGAGTAAAGCTGGCTTTCTATCGGTATGATCCGAGATCTAGCCCTGATTCAAGTACACAGAAGCAACTCGACAGTGGTGGTGCTTCCCAGGGCACAGTAAACAAATTGCTAAGGTGTTGATGGAGGCTAGCAGGCCAAATGAGAGAAGCTGGCTTATTCCTGGCTAAAGTACAGCATGGAAGTCATAATGAGGCATAGAGTGCATGAGGTTTGCCTTCGTAAGAGCAGAATGGTTCTTGGGTAAAGTACACATGGCAACACCTGTCACAGGATACATTCATTAGCTGGGAAGCCATAGTCATAGCACAGGTGTCTTCCAGGTCAAGATAGAAGATATTACAATCTTCTCATGGAAACAATCAGAGGGGACACCTCAGAGTGCTGCGCTGCATTAGAGAGCTGAGCATGCATAGGAATGCCCAGTGTGCAGTGACGTCTATTGTGATTAACATTACATTCAATTTCCAGTACCTGTGGATGCCTCTTACCTCCCAGTATGATTCAATTTCATTGACTTTCATATGAAGTTCCTTCATTGACAAGTTGGCTTCGGCTTCCCGAAGCTTGACGGCAATCAGCTCCTCCTGCAGTTGCTGGATGTCATTGCTGGGAGCTCTCTGAAGACGCAAATTGGTCTGTCGGAATGAGATATGAAAAGCTCTATGAAACAAAATTTTTTGTACAAACCTTCTGAAAATAGTTTTTAGT